AAAACAGGAAAAAAGGCAGAACGAAAAATATGAGCCGTCGAGGTTTGGCTAACACGAGAGTCTGAAGAGAGATTTTGTAAAAATTTAATTTATTAACTTCAGATATGTTTTACTTTAAACAATAACTTCAACTCTTTGTAGCTATAATCGTACAGCTATAACCAGTGGCGTAGCCAGACCTTAATTTTTCTTTTTGGGGAGGGGCGAACCTGGCGTGAGACCGTCTAGGAGGGTCCGGGGGCATGCACTCCGGGAAAATTTTGAAATCTAGGTTCCCTGAATTGCGATTTCAAGCATTTTGAAGGTGAAATCTAGCAGAATTCCAAAGATTATAAAGTACATCGAAAACATGAATTTTTCCAGACATTCGGTCTACTCGGAATTTAATAAATTGGAAAAGTCACCTTGAAAAATAGGAGGAGGGGTCAGTGTCACCTTATTTCCTCTCTGTGACAGGGCTCGAAATAACATTCGCAACGTTCCCGATCATGGTGATCGGCAATCAGGACTTTTTGCCGATCAAATAAAAATCTGGCCGATCAGGAGCATTTGCCCTCATTTCCTTCAAAAAATTCTAAATATGCCAGTGGGCATTGAATACACATTCGAACAGGAAGTTTAACTTTATTTCAAATTGAATTTTAAATCTATGACATTTGTGAACTTATATATACACTACTAATAGTGTAACTATATTTAACTAGTACTTACAGTAATAAACTTTATTTTATTATAACACTTTTCAAGTTTTAATTATACTATTGCATTTTTTTCACACAAAAGTAAGAAACACAGCAGCATTATCAATTAAGAACTAAAACTTATTATTTAATATTAAAAGAGAAAATTCTACTAAAAGTCCTACTCAAAAAATCCTATCAATTTGAAATTATTATGACAAAGATACGTTCGTTGTCAGCGGTTCGGATTGCAGACTGTTGAAAAGACGATAATACTTGTTTTAATAAAAGTAATAATTACTTTAGAGCGAGAATAGTATTGCGGCCTTTCCTGTCGTACGACTCGTATAAACTAAACAAAAGCTTTTCGCGTGTTTTTGAATGCGTTTTATATTATTTTATTTATATCTTTTATTTGTCTTTTACCGCGTATAGATAGCATGTCTTTCAGACAATGGTCAAATATATTTCTTGCCGATCAAGATGAGCGGCAACGTTGCTTCTTCGCCGATCAGAAACAACTTCCTGACGATCATTGATCGTTGATCGGCCGTTATTTCGAGCCCTGCTGTGATGCTGGGGGGAAGAAAATCCCAATGTGATTTTGATCAGAAATTCTGCATTTAAATCATTTTAGGTTCTATGAGACACCATTTCCGTATTCTCAAAATTATGTTGCTTTTTCATACGATACAGAATAAGTCTGAGAAGAAATATTCATGCTATGATGATGCAAACATAACAGTTAAAAATCTAAACTAAATCTATTCTT